AATATACTATTAATATATTAATAATATAATTAATATATTATATAATAATGTCTGTTCAACAAAGTTGGTTTAGTTTCCCAAGCATTTTCTTCCTAACACCTTATGCTTTAAAATATCTCAAATATTCATTCAAGTTATGGGCAAATCAGAAAATTCCTAAATAACAATATCTTTAAAAATAATCTCATTTCCTAAAGAAATGCAAACTCATAAACACATTTTAACATTTCATTAACAGTGATGCATGGCCCTATACACACACTTCTAAGAGAAGCATCAGTAATTTCAAGAGAAGAGGGACTCCCAACATGAAATGTGCACAGAGCGTTTGACCCAGCTATTCTGACACTGGGGATGTTTTGACCCTGTGTTAGTAAGTACAAGTATTTCAGTCAGAAGTATGCTGATTTTGATGAAAAAATATGTCAGAGAAAATTTTATTAAGCTAATTTAGCCAACAGATCAATTCTCTACACAATGCAATTAGCCATTTTCACTTTTGTCCTTTTTCATTTCAATTTTTCTGAAATGATCTATTGCTATCACTTTTCTATATAAATTAAATGAAGATCTGATTCCTAGATTTGTCCATATTAAGTTTTATCAATTATAGCTTGGTCATTTTCCCTTTTGACCACTATTTCTATGAAATTCCATATTCTTTAATCTAAGTATTACCAAGCTTTAATTCTCCTGTTGATTTATAGTCTGTAGCTGATTCCACCTCATGAAGTTTTACCTACTGTCACTTAGGTTATATTTTGCCATAGTTCAGTTCAGTTGCTCAGTCGTGTCCGACTCTCTGCAACCCCATGGACTGCAGCACACCAGTCTTTCCTGTCCATCACCAACTCCCGGAGTTTGCTCAAACTCATGTCCACTGAGTTGGTGATGCCATCCAACCAACTCATCCTCTGTTGTTCCCTTCTTCTCCCGCCTTCAATCTTTCCCAGCATCAGGGTCTTCCCATGAGGTGGCCAAAGTTCTGGAGTTTCAGCTTTAGCATCAGTCCTTCCAAAGAATATTCAGGACTGATTTTCTTTAGGATTGTCTGGTTGGATCTCCTTACAGTCCAAGGGACTCTTGAGTCTTCTCTAACACCACAGTTCAAAAGCATCAGTTCTTTGAAGCTCAGCTTTCTCTATAGTCCAACTCTCACATCCATTCATGACTATTGGAAAACCATAGCTTTGACTAGATGAATCTTTGTTGGCACAAAGTAATGTCTCTGCTTTTTAATAAGCTGTCTAGGTTGGTCGTAACTTTTCTTCTAAGGGGCAAACGTCTTTTAATTTCATGGCTGCGGTCACCATCTGCAGTGATTTTGGAACCCGCAAAAATAAAGCCTCTCATTGCTTCCATTGTTTCCCCATCTATTTGCCATGAAGTGATGGGACCAGATGCCATGATCTTAGTTTTATGAATGCTGGGTTTTAAGCCAACTTTTTCACTCTCCTCTTTCACTTTCATCAAGAGGCTCTTTAGTTTCTTCCCTTTCTGCCATGAGGGTGGTGTCATCTGTGTATCTGAGGTAATTGATATTTCTCCTGGCAATCTTGATTCCAGCTTGTGCTTCATCCAGCCTAGCATTTCTCGTGATGTACTCCACATAGAAGTTAAATAAGCAGGGTGACAATATACAGCTTTGACATACTCCTTTCCCAATTTGGAACCAGTCTGTTGTTCCATGTCCAGTTCTAATTGTTGCTTCTTGACCTGAATACAGATTTCTCAGGAAACAGGTAACGTGGTCTGGTATTTCCATCTCTTGAGGAATTCTCCAGAGTTTATTGTGATCTATTCAGTCAAAGCCTTTGGCAAAGTTAATAAAGCAGAAATAGATGTTTTTCTTGCTTTTTCGATGATCCAATGGATGTTAGCAATTTGATCTCTGGTTCCTCTGCCTTTTATAAATAGTTTGAACATCTAGAATTTCATGGTTAATGTACTGTTGAAACCTGGCTTGGAGAATTTTGAGCATTATTTTGCTAGTATGTGAAACAAGTGCAATTGTGCAGTAGCTTGAGCATTCTTTGGCACTGCCTTTCTTTGGGACTGGAATGAAAACTGATATTTTCCAGTCCTGTGCCCACTGCTGAGTTTTCCAAATTTGCTGGCCTATTGAGGGCAGCACTTTCACAGCATCATCTTTTAGGATTCGAAATAGCTCAACTGGAAATACATCACCTCCACTAGCTTTGGTAGTAGTGACACTTCCTAAGGCCCACTTGACTTTGCATTCCAGGATGTCTGGCTCTAGGTAAGTGATCACACCATCATGGTGATCTGAGTCATGAACATCTTTTTTGTATAGTATTTTGCTACACTGTTTATTATTTACACTCATCTGATTTTCCCTGGGTCACTAATCATGGTTTTCACAAAGATGTCCTCATTTTTCACTGTGCTCTCCAGTTACAATTTAGCCATTTTCAATCTTATTTTGTGTTTATTATTCTTACCAGAATATTTGTTAGGAGTTTTATTTAAAAGTTAAGTCTTTGTACTTATTTCTTGGAGCAAAAAATATTAGTGGTTGGTGTAGGTAGCAGGCAGGGTGTAAGCATTCTGCTTCAGCAATAAATCTTTAAATGATGACCAAGTGACACTTAAATAAAGTTTGGGGAAAAGCTGATTAGTGCAGTAAAGCACAAGAAATGCACTGTGGGAATACTGGAAGGGCACTCAATGGCTTACTTCAGATGTAGAAGAATAAGAAACTACTGAACCATCAAATTAGACAACTGAGAAGTAGCTGAAAACTGAAAACAAAATACAAAATTATTCAGTGTACATGCTAGAACCTATAAAATATGGTAAGTGACTGTAGGCCTGCTATAAGCTACAGGAGATGAGAAACAGACTGTGGATGGATGGAATTTCGGATACTGTAAGGATTGCCTAGTAACAGGTAGTACCTGAGGGCAGTGCCCCTTCTACTGCCTAACTGTATTAATGACGTCCAGTTGGGAAACCAGGTGTCACTGACCTGGCAAATTTCTCCCTTCTCCTAGGTTACTTTGACTAATAATTCTCATGAGGCGTAAAGTAATTAGCCTCCAACTAATAAAAATAAATGAAAAAAAAAAATAAATTCTCATGAGGCATGGGAGTTCTGGCTCTATTCACCATGCCTTTGATAATATGAGCTTCCACAGCTCTCCTTTGCAGGTTCCACAGAAATGAAAGTGAGAGCCACCTTAAAACAAAGGACAGAATGTTTATCATAAAATGAAATGATATGATTATACTGAAAGGGGAAAATCTTTTCTTATACAGGTCTTCAGAAATGACAGAAACTGTGCTAGTGGCTTAACCTGTACTATAATCTCTTGTACTTAGTCTCTATCTAGGCAGTTAAGAGGAGATGTAAGAATTGTGGTACATTCTATAATAGATATAGAGACAAGAGTATTTCTGGCAGTAATCACAAGGACTACATTCACATTCTCAAAGGAAAACACCTTCGATTTGGGAGCAAACAGTTGTAGAACAAACAAAAGAATTCAGTAAATAATTTTTTATCAGTGTGTCAAAAAAATGTTCAGGTTTTTTGCAAAGGCTTTTGTGGCTCAGCTGGTAAAGAATCCGCCTGCAATGTGGGAGACCTGGGCTCGATCCCTGGGTTGGGAAGATCCCCTGGAGAAGGGATAGGCTACCCACTCCAGTATTCTGGCCTGGAGAATTCCATGGACTACAGTCCATGGGGTCACAAAGAGTCGGACAGGACTGAGCGACTTTCACTTTTCACTTTGAACTCTAAATCCTATAGATCATTTTTTCTTTTTTAATCTAAATTAACAACATTCAGGATTTACTCCTTGTGCAAAGCTAACACCTGTCAGAAATCCAGACCCCTCCCCCAAAGTAAATCCTTCCAAGTTTATTTGGATTAATAACTTTACAAACCTATGAACTTCTATAGCAAACTCAAAAGAAGAAACTGAAAAAGGTTAAGGAGGTAAGAAGGTAACACAAAGACAAGATTCTTAAGCACTTTTTAATGCAGTGGCATCAACAGTGGCCTTGAAGAGAAATAACACTTTTCCAAAGCTTACTGATGCCTGCACTGAAGGCCCCGAGAAGAATATGCCATCCACACAGAGAGTGCAAGCCTGTAGGACTGTTATCAACCGGCTGCAAGAGAGACGGGAAGAACTCAAACCAAACAGGAGCTGCTTTAAATCGTGTGGGGCTTTACTTGAAGGACTCTGATTTGGTATTTCCAAATCTTTTCATTCTAACCAAAGGGGGGTAAAAATATAAAGCTAAAACTTACCTGATAATATTACCGATTCTGAAATACATATATATTAATATTTAAGACCAGTAATCAGGGATTTTAAGAATTTTTAAATGGTGGATAGTGTGTGTACACAAAATGATTCTTTACTTACATACTCTCTAAAAGGGTTGGTTCTCTCAGGGTTATTGCTGCCATGATTTGTTCAGTTTCACCTGGCAAAAATTTGTATGATGCCTGAAAGGACCCCTTTCTTGTGGTCCAATATTCCCAAGATTTATTATGTACAATTCTCCCACATTTTCAGGTGGCATTTCCCATTTTTTTCAGTCAACTAGATTCCGTGGAAAAAACAAACCAACCCAGGCCTTTCTTCTTTTGAAGGCTAATCCTTTTCCCTTTAAAATAATTTCCTCTGTTTCCCTAAGATACTATGCTTTGAAACAGTCTATAGAGACACTGTTCTGACATTTTTAAAGATAAATTTGAATTTAAGTTTGTAAACCAAGGTAAAGTTCTGTCAGAGAAAAAATTTATATATAAAATACTTTCAAAAATGTTACATTATGATGCAGTTGAGTAGACATGTAAATAAATATATACCATCTCAGGATATTGCCTACAATGTCAGTGATTGTCTTTTTAATAGTTTATATCAGGCTCCCAGAACATGAAAATAATACCCACATATAACTCAGGCTTACAGAATAAAATACCATAGACTGGGTGGTTTAAACAACAGACATGAATTTCTCACAGTTCTGGAGGCTGGAAGTCCAAGATTAAGGCACCAGCAGGCTTGGTTCTTGGTGAGGGCTCTCTTCTACGTTCATAAAAGGTTTTCTTCTTCCTGTGTCCCTGTATGGCAGAGAGAAGAGGCTCTGGTGTCTCTTCATCTTTTTTTTATGTGCAATAATCCCATTATGGGGACTCCACCATCATGACCTCATCTAAACCTAATTACCTCCCAAAGGCCTCACCACCTAACACTCACACTGGGTGTTAGTGCTCCAGCATATGATTTCACGGAGAACACAGTTAGTCCATAACACCAATTACATGATATTCTGAAGTACCTTAACTCCTCTATTCTCTAGCTTTACTGTATTCCAATTATACCCAAATACTGCCAAAGTTAAGGTGTATCTGAATGTCATGCTTTGTGCTTAAATGAGAGTTCTTTCAGCTGAGAAATGTAGGTGCTCTTTGGGGGAAATAAGACATAACAGTATAAAGAATCTTCCCAAAGCATCCCATTTTGAGTTTCCAATAAGAACATAATAGCAGTTCAAAAAAATATTTCCAGAGCACCCGGTATATAGTAGACACAGGGCCAGTACTAGGATTATGAAGATAAATGAGACAATGACCATGCTGAAGAAAGTACACCAAATAATAAAATAGTAAATCTTATGAAGAATTTGAATTCATAAGCTTCAAAAAAGCAAGAAATCACTTCCTTGAATAAGCTCATCATAAAACTAATGGCTACAGGTCTCAAAACATTTTTGTAGAATATTATGTGAAATTTCAAAAGGAGATCCCCCCCCCCCCGCCCCGGATTTGTAGAGAATTACTATGCTACTTGGAAATAATCATTTCTTGGAAATAATCACAAGTCAGTAAAATGCCTAAAGTCAAGTCTGAATTTTAAAATATCAAGTTCAGATTATTTAAGGTTCTAAAAGAGCAACATAGTATCCTAATGTATACACTGATTATCTATGGCTAAAGGAGAAACATTAAGGATTTATTTACACAAGATATCTTATCTCATGTTAACTTATGTACTCAGTGGTGCCTTACAGACCTGAATGAGAGGTAGGATGATTTCATCTAGCTGGGTGTTGCTTTGGTAAGTCTGTTTCTCTTTTCACATGATCAATCACCAAATGTCTACTTCAAGTAAGAAGTAGGACTCTAAAATATCTAACTCATTACCAAGCAATATGATGTAAGCATGTGGAAGTTGACAGACCCATAAACCCAGAATATTTAAAATTATTTTTGTAAGAAATTTCCATAATGGGAACAACTAAGTGAGAAATAAAAAGTACAGAAAGAAAAAGATAAGGGAGGCAGGAAGGGGATGAATAAACATTGACAGCATCCTTTACGAATACCTCACCATTATTATTCCACAAGAACAAGAAAGCATCATCTTGATTTTACAACTTCCATTTCTTTATGAATTTCCCTATAAGAAATCTGATATACTGAAAGTCCATTATATTGTGCAAAATGCCAGTCTTCACTGCCAATATGACAGTATTAACCTTCATTTGTTATTACTTTTGATGGCTCTTCCTTCGCCAGTTAAGAAGCCTGTGTCTGGGGAAGTTCCACAGCCACAGTTGTGTCATGTACATTTCTGAGGAAGAAACATGGTTATCTCCAAATATGTGGCTTCAGAAATAAGTCAGACTATAAAAATGAACCTAATATTAACTAAAGACAGAGTATCACAGTCAACAAAACCCTTTATCTGAATTCTGATATTAAGACCTAGTATCTTTCTCTCAAGTTTTTAAGTGAAGATAGTAAAGAAAGGAGAGGATTAGTTTTGCCCAGAGTCCCTCAGTTAGTAAACAGCAGCAAGGGTGTGTTCTCCCAACAGGCATCATGAACCATCTTCAGTAAGTCATTTCAACTTCCAAGTTAAACTAGCATATCTTCTGTTAATAATACTTTCTCTCACCCACTACATTCCTATTACATTCTCTTGAATTTGCAGGACATTTCAATGTAAAATTGGTGAGAGCAGAATTCCCCATGTATCCCCCTTTTAAAGGGAATGACAGTATTTTACTTTTAAACAAAGTTAAAATGGGTGCTGGTTTGAAATAGACATCCTAACATACAAAGGAATTAGCCTTCTAAGTTATGCTTTTGGAAAAATATTTAAGAATTAAGTATGGAATTTTTCCAAATGACTTTTGTAAACATAATGAATACAATTATACAGGATTTTCTCATTTTACCTATTGATACAATGTGATATCAATACATTTCTTGATACTGAAGCATCTTTATTAGTTTCTGCTACAGTAACAACAACAAAAAAACAACCCAAACCACATTATATTAAGGCAGTGGACTGCAAGCTCTGTTACAGCCTGCAGGTTGACTGTAGGTATGCTCCACTGTTTTCTCCCTGTGTCCAGGCTGAAGGAGCAACGGTAATAGCAGAGGGGGTAATACAGAGAGATTGAGTGAATCATGCAACCGTTCTTAATGCTTGTGCTTGAAAATGGCAAATCTGACAACCATTCAGATTCCACTGGCCAAAGCAAGTCACGTGGTTAAGCACAGCATCAATGAGGTATAGAAATAAACTCCTTCAGCAGTGTGGGGAACAGAGAATGAATATTTGTGAAAAGTAACACAAACTGTCAAACAACAGACCCTTTCAGGCCATGGTAAATTATTCTTTTAATAAACTACTAAATCTATGTGCTAATACATTATGTATATACATAATCGTAAGTGAGAGCAGGTATATAATTTTCATGCTTTTTTCCCAAGGATTTAGTAGGCTGATTTTATTTGCTTAGTAAAATGAAATGGGGAGGTGGGAAGGGGAGGGAGATGAGAGGGAGGTTCAAGAGGAAGGGGACATATGTATAATCAGCTATGGCTGATTTATGTTGATGCTTGACAGAAAAAAAAATTCTATAAAGCAATTACCTTTCAATTAAAAATTTTTAAAAAGTAAAAAAAATGAAATGGGTAGCTTTTTTTCTTTTGTGCTATATGTGGTTCTACTTATTTCTCTTAAGGATAAAAGGTTTCACCAGTAGTACCTAGAACTGGATCTTTTGCTGGGGGAAGTAATTACCTAGATAACTTTAAAAAAAATTTTTATGTTATTGGTAGAATAACATTAGATTTTTAAGTAGTTTTTTATTTTCCTAGAAATCATACACTTCATTATTTTCAAATTTGATAGTGATAAATTATATGTACACATTTAACATGTTTTCTATAACTCCTCCATCACTTAATCTTTATGGGATGTTCCACATTTACTATTTTGTGCTTTCTTTACCTTTTCCTCTGCATTTTCTAACACTTTTACTATTATTGCTTTTATCTTTACTGTAGTCTTCCTTTTGATTTCTCCTTTTTCATTTTCTAAATTATTTAATAAAAGTCTGGGTCATAGAATTAAAAAATCTAGCTAGAATATTTTTAGAGCAGCATTATATAATTCCATTAAAATGAAAACTCAGTGAGAACTGTATTTCTACCCCTTTGTTCACTAATAATCCTCAAGCGTCTAGCACAGAGGAGTTTCACAGAATTTGATAACATTCAGAGAAATCTGTTTCTGTAGTCTTTGTTCCCTTTTAGACACTATGGTTATTTCTTAATTCCAAGAGGCTTGAATTTTTGTTTAAACTTTCAATATCTTACCTAATTCTGTGGTTCTCAGATTTTGACACCCATCAGGCTAGCTTGAAGAACTTAGGAAGAAAAACACTGATTTTTACATTTTAAAACTTGGGCTCTAAAAAAAAAACAAAAAAACCTTGGGCTCTCCCCTCAGTGTTGGATTCATTAGGGTCAAGGTTCAGCTCTAGAATTTTTATTTCTAATAAATTCCCAAGTGATGCTGAAGTCATGCTGGGATCTACATTTTGAGATTTACTGGCTATTTCATTGTATGAAAATGTTGGTTCTGCTTTGGAAAATTTATTTGAGTTAGCTATCATCTAAACTATGTTTTTAAAACCCTAAGGGTCATCATTTATTTTTTGTGTAACTGAAGACAGACTAACAGTTGTACAGTACAATATATATTAAAACAATTTAAGTCTTGTTGAATTCTTAGTATTAGAATAGCCTCCTCTGTCCATGGAATTTTCCAGGCAAAAACATTGGAGTGGGTTGCCATTTCCTTCTCCTCACCAGTCTACTCCAGAGCAATAGCCTTAGTCCTTTTTCATGAAACTATGCTGTATCAGTAAGTTTTCTATGCAATGTGCTCACAATGAATTTATTCCTTTATTTACTTCAAGGCCATTATTAAAATAGCTTTTGACTCATAAAAACTATACTTAATTATTGCCAAAGTAGCATTTCAGTTGTCTTCACTGATCTTTTCAAGAGAAAGTGTTAGTCACTCAGTCCTGTCCCACTCTTTGAGACCCCAGGGACAGTAGCTGGCCAGGCTCCTCTATTCACAGGATTCTCCAGGCAAGAATACTTGAGTGGGTTGCCATTCCCTTCTAAAGAGGATCTTTCCAATTCAGGGATCCAACCTGGGTCTCCAGCATTGCAGGCAGATCCTTTACCATCGGAGTCACCAGGGAAGTCCTTATTGATCTTTAACCAAAATTAAAGATCTTTAATCACTGATATTTAATCAATATTAATTTGCAAATCAAGGGTATATCAGTTATTTTTCATAATAAGGTCAGTTACATCAGAGCAAACATTCTAAACTTTTTTAAAGTTTTAGAAATAATTTCAGCCATGAACATAAAAACCTCTCCAAAAATATTTGTACTTCAATTATGTGCAAAGATAAACCTCACAGTGCACAGCACACTTTTTTTCACTGAAAGTAAATGCAGTGACATAGTCAGGATTTGACAGAATTAACCAAAGAGAAAAAGCCTGCAAACAAGATTAAGTAAGCCATTTTCACAAATGAGATGACCATGTTTACAAATGAACACACTGTGTACATTTGTATTGAATAAACAGCACAATATAGGTGGAATAGGGTTGGTAGACGATTTAGAAAAACAAAAGAATCTGAAAAGATGCAAAAGGACTTTGCAAAAGCCAGGTGTCTACCAAAAAGTAAAATGAGAACATTAGGGTATAGCAACTTTGTCCTTAATTCTAGTCATTTCTTATTTACTGACTTTTAATAGCTAATGGGAAGGGCAGAAATTCCACCAAAAATCATTGAAATATTTAATATACTTGGTATCACAGCACCCTCTATCACATTATAATTTACAGAACACATTTATGTGCAGCAGCGCTTTAACTGTGAATATTCATTTATGTGGAATTTTCTGGATCTAGTGCTTAGTTCATTACTTTTCAACAATGGATTTCTCCGGTTTCCGTATCATTAGCATCCAACAAGAGCATGACTGCATGTGCTTACAAAGTAACCCTGAACTCCAAATTATTACAAGTGTGATCCTAGTACCAAGGATCTAAGTATTAAGTATCACCAGAGAATTTATCAGAGTTATAATCATATTAGATTGGCAAGAAAATTCATTCAGGGTTTTCCTTAACATCTTAATGGAAAACAGGAAGGAACATTTTCGACATCCCAATAGAATTCTACTCCCTGACGTTTCCAGTTAAAACCTTTGGTGTTAAGGCCAATCTGGTTTAATAAGCCTTCCAGGGACATTTAATGGGTGCTCGAGCTTGAGACCACGAGTAGGAGAAAGGCCCAGTGGAGCAGTCTAGTCAGTGGGAGCTGGAGTCCATAGGAAACTTACTTCACTAGCTTTCACTAGTACTCCCATACTCGGTTACCATACCACTCCAATAAAGCAGTAAGAACCACCCAATACTAGCTACATACATATCATCAAGCCTACAGACTTCCAGAAAAATCGAGGTTTCCAAGCATTATCCAGGGAGAACTTACGTCGATTTTCCTGATTTGGGAGAAATGACCTTTTCTCTCTGGTTAATCTCATAGAAACACGCCATGTAAACAAACCTACATACACCATGGGTGTTCCTGAAACTACCTTTCTGAAATCTCTTTAGCCTGTTTTTATAGCAAATTACCCACCAAATTCCCCACTTCCTCAAGGGCTCCAGACACATCCTGCATGTTTTTACAACACAGCTTTAATAACCTAAAGGAAGCAAAAGCTTTTATAGCACAGAGCAGTCTAAGCCACAAGGTCTGTGCCATCTTCCCACCCAAGAGAGAAATAGTGGATTCTTGTTTCTTGGGACTAATGATTTGATAACTGAGAAAAATGCCTGAGAGGCATTCAGGAACAAGTCATGAGGAAACAAACAACAAAAAGTTTTGTTTTGTTTTTCTGGACTTAAAACTAGAAAAAGAACTCAGCTTCCTCTCCATCTTGGGTATTTATAGCTAACACGTACAAGTCGCTTCCGCTACGAAGTCCTACAAAGTACCTCCTGTGTGAGAACTCGGCAGGGCGAAACCTCGGGTCTCCCTTTGCGAGGGCGAGTGACGAAAGCCCAGGCCACATTTTCTCTGGAAGGTTCCGGGAGAAAGGCGCGCGCCCCCTCTGCGAGCAGCGAGATATTCAACACCAGATGGCGCTGCCGCACCGAGAGCCGGAGCCTGGGAGGCATGGTAGAAGGGAAGAAGCGTCACCAGATTCTTTCCTCTGCGTCCGTCGCCGGAAGTGCGCGCTGGCGCCAGCCTCTGGTCCCGGATATTAAGACTTCTGGAGGGTTCCCGCGTGAGGGCGGGGTTAGAACCGGAACCGAACGGCGACCGTCAGGCCTCGGGGCGGAAGCCCCGGGCGGCGCTAGTGGGGGCTGATTTCTGGTGCGCGCGCCTCGCCGGGAGCGCGGGGTGGGGGGACGGCGGGGGGTGGGGGGTGGGGGGCTCGCCGTGCGCTTGCGCATTGTGAGGACGTACGCGCAGCGCGTACGTCTTTCTCCATCTTTGCACGTTTGCTGGACCGGCAAGGCGGAAATGGTGGCGTAGTAGGTTTTTTTTTTTTTTTTCTTCCCGCCCACAGGGTTTGAGTTTCTGGCTGTGAGTCAGGTTTCTGGAAATCTTTGTGGAAAATTAGTGGTATATGAGGTAAAAACTCGAGCTGTATTTTCGTCTTGAGTATTATGTGAGCCAAATGCCTGCTGGGCGCTGTCCCAATGCTGGGATGGGCCCAGCCTTTCCTTTTAAATGTCTTCCTGAACCGGCTTGACCCACCCACTGTGTCTTTAAGCACCAGTCCTGATGCGGTAGGGGTGTCACTAAGAAAAAGGAACGCAGGCAGATACACTGTTCGTGAGGAACATAAAAGCGCTTCTTATGTAAAGAAGCATGTCTTTTGGTCTTTTAGCAGTGCTTAAGAATTTAAGGAGTTAATCAGCTTTATTTTTCCCTTTCTGTCAGAAACACTTTATATTCTGCGTTTTATGGTGTGGTCTTGGTCTTTATCAAATTTTAGCTAAAGTAAGGCTGTCCGTGCAAAGTGTTTGAAAGGAATAGCATTACAAGTCAGAGTTCCACTTAATAGAAACCACTTAATAGACGGACCGTGTAAACTCGTGAGAGTTCACTGCCTTTGTTTTGTGATGCAACATGGAAACAACCAAGTAGGTTGCAAAAATAAAATCTGTGTGAAACTGTACCCACCCAATTTTAATTTTAGACTGTTTCTGAAAGTGTCAGATGCAAGGTACTCAGTTCTTCCAAGAAATTTCTTCAGCTTTGGTAAACACTTTTAACTTTGTATTTCAGAATTCTTCCCAGTCTGCAGCCTACATAAAAACTAAGTACTTGTGCAAGCCAGAGCAATAGAGACTTTTCAGCAGTTATACTGAGAGAAACAGATTGGGGAATACAAGAAAGATAGCCTGCATTTTACGGTTTTTGGATAAAACCTTTTCATGGTTTTGTTTGTAGGTGTTGTAAAGAGAGCAGTTGTGGGTTGAGGAGTACCTTGATACTATATCTATGTGAAAAGCCCAAAAAATTTTTTTTCCAAAAAATGGGCAATACCACAGAATCATTGAAGACTCATCATTAATACTGTGAGAAGGAGGCAAGATGGAGTGGGAAGTAATGGAAACACTTAATATTTAAACATTAGCCTTCCTTTAGATAAATTAGATAAAGACCACGAAAACGTCAGAGCTAAAGCAAATAAATGTGGAAAGCCTAATTAGGAAGACAGGAAAATAGATTTTAGACCTCAAATGGAATGTGTAGAATAAGGAGTAAGTTCATTCTGTGGTTCAGTTTTGGAAATATTGCATTTAGCTGCTTATTTTAACTTTTGGTACATTCCAGTCGTCCCTGTGTCTCATATATAACCAACTCTAAATTGAGATGATGCTTAGTTTTGCTGCCATTATACTAGTAACTTGCCCTAGCATAGTGCTTCATAGTAAAGAATTATTAATTAATTCTGGCTATATGTATATATTCACAAATAGTGGCATTAAAGCCAGTTCCCTGTGAATACCCTCAACTCTTTGTCCCTGACTTCTGCTTTCCTGGCAAAACCTAGATCATAAATGAATTCACATGTTTATCTTTTGTGTACTTACACCCAGGCAGCTTAATAATTGGGTGGACTAATGTGACCTCATCAAATGATCTCTCCTACTCTTTTCTGTAGTTATTTTGCTCGCTTTAAACGAAGTATCTCATTCTTTCTCTACACTTTTGGAATCACTGACTTTCTCCTCAGCTAGTGACTTTGCCTCATCCTTATTGGAAAAAGAATTGTGAGCCTCGCCAAGAATTCTCTCATCTTCCCACCAATTCGTCTACTTGCTTCTGCCTCTTTATCTTTCCTTTAGTTTCACAGAATGGTGAATCTGTCAATCATATGGCAACAGTTGAGATTATTTTTAGTTTTAGCCATTTGAATGGATATGTAGTGTCATATTTGTGAAGTATGTTAAAAACTTTGCCCATTTTAAAATTTGAGTTTGTTTCCTTGTAATTAAGTTTTAAGAGTTACTTGCATACTACATACACATCTTTTTGCTTTGTTGAGATATGATTGGCAAACAAAGCTGTAGTGTTTATGTAAACACCTATATGTATACACATATATGTATAGAACTTAATAAGTTTGGAGTTAAGTATACATCCACAAAACTCTCCACAATGTATGTCATAAATAGACCCATCACCTCTAAAAATTTCCTCCTGCTTTCAATTTTTATTATTAGGCTATAAAAACACTTAGCATAAGCTCTACCCTCTTAGCAAATTTTCATATAGCATTGTTAACTGTAGGGACTATACTGTACAATAGAGTTCTAAGACATAGTGATTGTGTTCAGCAAACTTTGTACCCTTTGAATAATACCTCTCCTTTCTCCTTCCTCTGTATACTTTTTTTTTTTTGGTCAAAATGTGTGTTGTGAATATTTTTATTCCAGTTTGTAACCTGTCTTTCATTTTCTTAATAACATTTTGAAGAAAAGTTGTTGTAGGTTGTATTTTTCTAGGAATTTATACATATTGTCCAAATACTAAAGTTCCCTAGCATAAAGTTGTAAATAAAGCCCTCTTACTATCTTTTTAATATTCACAGTATATTACATTTAGGCCTAGAATGCACTGAAGCTTAATTTTTCTATATGGTATTAATATAACAATAGGGGGTGATACCTTTATTTTTAAAAAATAAGAATCCAGTTATTCCAACAGCATTTGTTGAAAAGATTCTCCTTTCCTCTACTGTATATCACCTTTGCATCTTGGTCAAAAATCAACTAATCTTCTGAGTCTATTCACTTCCCTTGATAAGCATGAAGTATCCATGTGCCAACTTACCCAACTTTTTTTTTTTTTCCATTATTGTTTTGGCCATTCCAAGTTTTTGTGGGTTTTTTTTTTTTTTTTTTGCATTTTAATATAAATTTTACAATTGGTGTTTCAATTTCTAAAAAGTCTGTTGGGATTTTGGTTGGAATTCTAGCGAATCTGTTGATCAGTTTGGGAAGAACTGACATTTTAAAAATACTGAATTTTGCTATCTGTGATTGTGTCACATCTCTCCCTCTATTTATTTATTTTGATATTTGTCTTTGTAATTTTCAGCATAGGAGTCTTGCACATATATTGTTAAATTTATTCTTAAGTATTTCATGTCTTTTATTATAAACAAACAAATTTTTAAATGTATTATAAATGTACTTTAAATTGCATTTTTAGTTTATTGAGTCATATTTTTCAACTTCAGAATTTGTATGTGATTCTTATTTGTAGATTATTGTTCTCTAGTGAAATTCTGACCTGGGCCTAATAGCTTCAACATTTAGGTCATCTATGGATCTTATTTCTATTTCCTTTTCTTATTTTTGTTTCCTAGTATGCCCAGAAATTCTTAATTTGGAATGCTGTCTTTGTGAAAAATGTTAGGCTCTGAGTCATGTTTTTTTTTTTATTTCCAGAGAAGATTTTACTTTTGCTTCTGTTAGGAAATTAGGCTCAGAGCAAAACACCTTAGCCTAAATGGCTTTCAGTCTGTTAGGTCTAGCCTATTTCAGCTTCATTCTTACTCCTAGGGTGGCCCTTTTTCTGTCCCAACTGAAAGCCTGAGGTGTTTTCAAAGGCTCTTCCTTCCTAGTTGCCTCTGAAGCCCAGTTTGTATTTTCTCAAAACTATGGGACTCCTGAAAGCTCTTGGCTTCCCTGCTTCTAAGCTGCCTGCTTCTAAATCACTCTTTCTGAGTGATTTCTCAGCCTCTGGAACAACTTTCAAATTAGCAAATGAGTCAAGGGGAAAAACAGAGTTGAACATAGGCAGACTTCTGTGCACCTTCTCCTTAGGATCTTGTCCTTTCAAGATGCTATCAAAAAGATATTGTTTATATTTTACCCAGCTTTTCTAGTTCACAGTTTATAAGGGTGAGACTATTTTTTTTTAAGTCTATTACTGGCAGAAATAAATGTCTTTATTCTGAGAGTCTCAATGATGCTAATAAAGGTAGTACTATTTTTTTCTGTACCAGTGTCATCACTTCTTGTCCCCACACATCAGAAACAACCCAAAAGACACACCAGTGGCTTGCTTTCTTGCTTCTGGAGGTGTCTCTAGGGCCTCCTAGAAGTAATAGCCTCTTGCCACAGATGGCTTCCTAAGGAATACCCTTAACTCTTTAGGGTTTGCCTGACTCTGTCTTGTGCCCTGGCCTCCTTCCAATGAGGAACTATGATGGTTCTACTTCTATCCAAACCAAACATTACTATGCTATAACTGTAAATTCAGTCTCTCTCCATTGGTGCTTTCACAATACAAATACATGTTACAGTCAGGCAGGAAGAAGTGCGTCCTATTTTATGGATAATTAGTAATACATACACACACACACACACACACACACATATGTATATATGCTCCCTAACATAGAATGGATTTGATTTTTTACTGTAATTTCAAGTAATAATTATATACATTGCCCTCCAGTTTGTGCTATAGAAAGGCCAGAATGACCAGACTTTAACCCAGATCCTACCACTTCTTCCATGGGTGAAATTGAGCAAGTTAAGTTTTCTAAGGTTCAGTTTCCCTAATTTGAAAACCAAGAAGATGTCTGATTTCCAGGGTAAAAAAAAAAGATGGGCTTAAAAAAAGATATTGCTTGTAATGTCTGATA